CCCCAAAACCCCAAAACCCCAAAACCCCAAAACCCCAAAACCCCAACTATTATTAAATATTGGAGATTCTCCTTAAAAATAGTTCGGGACTTGATCATTCTCTAAAATTTCTGGAAAAAAGAAACAAAATGCTAAAACTAAGAATTCTTTGCTTGCATGGCTTCTACAATAATATTGAAGTTATGAAGCATCAGCTTGCTTATTATGAATACATATTAGGAGAATTCATTGAGTTTGATTATCTTCAAGCTCCTTACGAATGAGACGAAGTTTTTGATCCAAATATCAAAGAGAAATTTGAAGGACCTTTTTACAGATGGATGATATTCAATCCGGAGACTAAAGAAGTCACAGGTTTTATTGATAGCTTGAAAAGGATAAAGGAGTATTATGAAAGCAATGGGCCTTACGATGGCATCATAGGCTTCTCACAAGGGGGATACATGGTCAGAACATTAATGAAAGCAGATATTCTTGGATTCCCAGACCTAAAACTAAGCCCAGGTTTTGTTATTCTCATAAGCTCAGCCATTCCATACTGGGACAAGATAAAACCCATCATCGAAGGTGACTATTCAAGCCCAGTTCTCTACATCTATGGGTCCAACGACCCTATAACCAAACCCTTCGACTACTGTATCTGTCCTCGAAGCGACACAACCGTCATATTCCACAAAAAAGCCACTACATTCCTAAATTCACTGACTATTCCCTGACTCGTCTCATAAATTTCCTCAACAGGTTCTACCACCAAAAGTACGGTACCAAAATCCACCTTGGTTTCACTGTGGATGCAAAGTTTAAGCAGAATTTTATAGAACACTCTTCTGAGCCAGGCTTGGCTCAGAAGAGATTGCATAAAATTTAACTAAGACTATTGGTCACGAAGAAACCAAGGGATTTGAACGGAGAGTTATTGGGTCATAGTAGGATTTTAAAGAAGGAAATTCAATATTTTAGGGAAGAGAAGGGGTTTTGGGGTTTTGGGGTTTTGGGGTTTTGGGGTTTTGGGG